ATACACAATGGAATATTATGCAGCCATCAAAAGGAATGAGATCTTGTCATTTGCAACGACATGGATTGAACTGGAGGGTATTATGCTGAGTGAAATAAGTCAGAGAAAGACATGTACCATGATCTCACTGATATGAGGAATTCTCTTTTTTTAAAGATTTTATTTATTTATTTGAGAGAGAGAATGAGATAGAGAGCATGAGAGGGGGGAGGGTCAGAGAGAGAGGCAGACTCCCTGCTGAGCAGGGAGCCCGACGTGGGACTCGATCCCGGGACTCCAGGATCATGACCTGAGCCGAAGGCAGTCACTTAACCAACTGAGCCACCCAGGCACCCGATATGAGGAATTCTTAATCTCAGGAAACAAACTGAGGGTTGCTGGAATGGTGGGGGTGGGAGGGATGGGGTGGCTGGGTGATAGACCTTGGGGAGGGTATGTGCTATGGTGAGTGCTGTGAATTGTGCAAGACTGTTGAATCACAGATCTGTACCTCTGAAACAAATAAAGCAATATGTGTTAAGAAAAAAAAAAAAAAGAAGATAGCAGGAGGGGAAGAATGAAGGGGGGGAAATCGGAGGGGGAGATGAACCATGAGAGACGATGGACTCTGAAAAACAAACTGAGGGTTCTAGAGGGGATGGGGGTGGGAGGATGGGTTAGCCTGGTGATGGGTATTAAAGAGGGCACATTCTGCATGGATCACTGGGTGTTATGCACAAACAATGAATCATGGAACACTACATCAAAAACTAATGCTGTAATGTATGGTGATTAACGTAACAATAAAAAATTTTTTAAAAAAAGGTAAACACAATTAAGAAAGAAAATACTGAGTCTTTAAAAACAAAAAAACAAAACAAAACAAAAAGATACATCAGTGACAAAACAGTAAAAGATGCCTGTCTTCATGGCTCTTACATAACAGCAGGGACAGCAATTTCTGTTGTAAAGTCAATCACATTATAGGCATAGCACTTAAAAGAGTGCTTCATGTTTTTATCTTACATGATCAAACATACAAGGTCTGGCCTATGAGAAATCAATACCCACGTTACAGGAAGACTTCTAAAATAATTTTTGTTATATGAATGAATCAATAATAAAACCATTTCCTCAATAATCATAAACAAAATGCAAAGTGATTGTTCACCTCAGAGAAACCTTGGCCGAGTTAAAATAAAAGTTTCAAGAAATAGACTTTGGTACCCAAATAAGGCATGTTAGGTTTAGATTTTTTAAAAGATTTTATTTATTTGACACATATATAGAGAGAGAGATAGTGAGAGAGAGAGCACAAGCAGAGGGAGCTGCAGGCAGAAGGAGACGGAGAAGCAAGCTCTCTGCTAGCAAGGAGCCAGACACAGGGCTCCATTCCAGGACCCTGGGATCATGACCTGAGCCAAAGACAGATGCTTAACTGACTGAGCCACCCAGATGCCCCTAGGTTTAGATTTTTAATTTTGCTATTCCCATACTAAATGCATATGCATAATTCAATGCTGAAAAACTGGATATGGTTATAAACCAAGGCATAGTTGAAATGAAAGTTTCAAAACAAATTAAAATAAAGAATTAGCAAAACATAATCAATATAAAAGCATTGTGATATTAATATTCCATGATTCAGCTGAGCAATAACTTGTTTTCTGTTACAAAATGGATAGTAGATAATCTGAGTATAGAAAATAATATTTCCTATATGGTACCATTCTACCTTCTGTAGTCTCTTGAATTCCACTTCCTGGTTAGTGAGCTATACCTTTAACAATCAGTTTTCTCAAAATAGGTTTTTTAAGTCTATTTTTCTAGATCTAAAGATATAAAGCTCAAAGCTCTTCTTGAAAGAGAATGAAACACATTTCAGTTACCCTTATCACTTGGAATATCTGGTTTCAACCAAAATTTACATGTCATCCTGAAAAAAGCAAAAGTGAGATGTCATCTTCTTTTGAGGAGAGACTTTGAAGTTAAACAGCTCACCAGGTGTTTGGAGCCCATTGGTAATGCACTTCTTCTTTGCTTATAGAATTGTCCTTGGTTCGGAGGTCATTCAGGGGAAGTGGTGAGTGTGACATCTCTGCCTGGGAGGAGCCCTAGAAGTGTCTGAAACTTATCTTTCTGTTTGCTCCTCTGCCCCTGAGAATGAGTGGGGTGAGAGTCTGGATCAGTAGGTAGTTGCTTCTCTTGTTTTATTTAGTGTATATGTCCTGTCTGGGTATTTGGCAAAAGGTGACTCATTCTCTGACCTTGTTTTGAATGCTCTGGTGTTGATGTATTTTCCTACATTCCAGAGAAAAAAAAATTGCAATGCGAAAATATAAGTGTTACTTACCAGCTGAGTGATTTTGGTCAAATGATTTAACCTCTTTAGGCTTCAGTTTCCTTACTCATAAGCTATGATAACACAACCTTTCTCCTAGGAGAAGTATTCATTGAAATAGTATATGTACATTTTAGCACACAGTAAGCCCCTAATAAATTCAAATTATTATTAATATATTGTTAGGAAAGAAAGTGCATCAGGGAACAAATGATATAAATTTTTTTTAATAATAGAGCTTAAATGCCCACCAACTGATGAATGGATAAAGAAGATAAAGAAGCTGTGGTATATATATATATATATACACGTGTGCGCGCACGCACACACACACACACACACAGAAGAATACTACTCAGCCATCCAAAAGAAAGAGATCATGCCATTTGCAATGACAAGGTGGATGGGAGCTAGAGTGTATTATGCTAAATGAAATAAGTCAATCAGAGAAAGGCAAATACCATATGATTTCACTCATATGTGGAATTTAAGAAACAAAATGATGAACATTCGGGAGGGGGGAAGAGGGGGAACAAATCATGAGAGACTCTTAACTATGTAGAACAAATTGAGGGTTGATGGAGGGAGGTGGGTGGGGGGTGGGGTAGATGGGTGATGGATATTAAGGAGGGCACTTGTTAGGAAGAGCACTGGTATTATATGTAAATGATTGACCACTGAACTCTACTCCTGAAACCAATATTGAACTATATGTCAACTAACTAGAATTTAAATAAAAATAAATAAATGAAATAAAAAAATACAATCAAGTCAGTAAACTTTCAAAGCTTGATTAATATGTTCAAGGCACTCTGTGGGGGCACTTGAAACAATAAAATGATAAATGAGACACAGGAAAAGGAATACTAGGGGAAGAATTCTTTGTGGGCAAAACATTTAGGACTGGATTTTCAAGTGGCCATCTCTTTCACCATTGTAGTTAGGTTTGCTCTGTTGGTAGCAAAGAATGTATCTAGTTTCCTTCTTAAATCGGAGTCATGGAGTGTGAGTTAATGAACAAGACTGGATGTATTTGTGGAGCATTTTACATTTTATGCCATCGTTTGTGTATCACCATCATAATGTTTGCCCCATTCTCAGACCATCTATCATTACTTTCTTAATAGTTTTCATCAGATTGACTCACCTTTTTTCCAACTTCATTTAAGTCTCATTTGAGCAACATTAGCTCTAAGATCAGGGATTTGTTGTGCAAGTTTTATTTTTTTAATGCACTCTAAAAACAAATACTTCAAAAAGTTCCACCTGTAGTCCATATACCACCTATAGTCATCGGAAGTACCTCCAGCACTATATTACTGTGTTTTGGAAAACACTGCCACACATGATATTCCTTGGTCCTCATAATTGTTATGTGAGGTAAAATAGAGAAAACATAACTATCCCCATTTCAAAGATGAGGAAGTCAGGCTCATGGATAAAATCTTATAGCTGGTAAATTTCCAGAACTGGGCCTGGTACTCATGCCTTCTTATTAACCCACTTATCTTATTGCTTCTGCTATACTACTAACTCATCTAAGGAGTGCAAACTTAGACCTAAAAGTAAACTTTTGTCTATTTAGACCTATTTTGGAATTTTGTGGTAATCTGAATAGAGATGAGACAGAAAAAAGTTAGCAAAGAAACGGAGACTAGATTGCCAAGTTGTGGTAGGCAGCCTCTAAAACAGCCCCTGATTATCTCACCATCTAGTATTCATGCCTGTGTAATCCCCTCCACTTGAGAAACTGTTTTCTAACCCAATAGAATATGGCAACTTAGAGGAGGTGTCACCTCCCTGCTTAGTTTGTAAAAGATTGTGACTTCTGTCTTGCTAGAAGTCTCTCTCTCTCTTGCACTGATTTTGATGAAGCAAGCTGCCATAGGAAGGGTGACCCAAGCACAGCAGGGAACTGAAGCCCTCAGTTCAACATCCCAAAAGGAAATGAATCCCGCCAACAATTCCGTGTGGTTGGTTGGGACCCAGATCCTTCCCTAGGTGAGCCCTCAGATGAGACCCAGCTTTGATGGACACCTTGCCTGCAGCCTTGTGGGAGACTGTGAAGCTGAAGACGCAGCAAAGCCATCTCCAGAACCTTGACCACAGGCATTTTAAACTCTTCATTTTTGGATATTGGGTTGGGAGAATTAATCTGTTATTCAGCAATATAGAACACAGTCTACGGGACTCATTTCCAGAAGTGGTTCGGCGGAGGTAGGGCCAAGTTACCACTACTGGGCCTGGGCCCCAAGTGTTTGTGGTTCTGTGGCACTGTGATATCTAGCACTGGACACTTTTTCTTTCTCATTTCCCGATTCTTTCCTCCCTACCCTCTCTCTTTCGCTCATTCCCTTTATTCCTCTTACTCTTTCATACTTTTAATTAATGGAACAGTTGGAAACTTAAAGTCAATAGCGCAAAAGAAAACTCCTCCATCTGCAAAATGTTATCAGCTACACCTTTCCCCAATGCCCTGTGCCAGGCTTCATATGTTGGCTTCATAGTACTCATGTAGTGCACACATCTAACAAAGGTTTGGCTGTTGGTATTATTGAATCACCATGGGAGTTGAATCAATGCTATCCATTCTGTTTTGTTTTCATTTTTCTACTTATGGAAATATCTTTATTCTTCTATGGGCTTTGTGTACTCATGTTCCCTCTCTTTTCCTTTGTAGGCAATTTATAGCACTGATCTATCAGAACCTCTCATGGACTTAGTCAATGTGAAGTTGATTTTTCCTGCAGGTACTCTTTCTACAAAATTAAAAACATTAAGGGGCGCCTGGGTGGCTCAGTTGGTTAAGCATCTACCTTCGGCTCAGGTCATGATCCTGGGTCCTGGGATGGAGTCCCGACCAGACTCCCTGCTCAGTGGGGAGTCTGCTTCTCCCTCTGCCCCTCACCCCTGCTCATGCTGTCTCTCTCTCTCTCTCTCCCTCTCTCTCAAATAAGTAAATAAAAAACCTTTTAAAAAATGAAAAATATTGGGCATAAAGAAATGGCATTCATGCTTTTTTAATTTCCTCTAGTTTTTCCATCCACCACATTACCTGAAAGATTTTTGCTTTTGAGCAGTGTTTTCTTCTATTTCACATGCAGAGAGAGAGCTAAAGGGAATTAGCCAAGGACCATTCCAAGTGAGTTTATCTGTAGAAAACCTTGAAAATAATCTGAAGCTAGCCTTGATGGATGGGGGAGGGGTGAGTTATGTGAAAGGATAGTGTAGATGGTGGGGAGGTAAATATATGGACAAATTTGAATCACAAATTTTTCACTATATGCCAGGAACGTTTAATAATAGCACTCCTAAACACACACACACACACACACACACACGTAAATGAGTCACACTATAAAAACTTTTAACAAGTGCTGGCAAGTCCTATGGCAGACTCACCCCGAAACCTGTCTCTCCAATAAAAACCTCATAATTAAAAACAAGGCTGTCCATAAATCATAACATATAATAACAATTATATGCAACTGGTACAGGACTTGATTAGAAAATTAACATTTAGCTTTCTCAGGTTAAAATTCTAAATTTCCCTCAGAGTGGAAATACCTCTATAATATGTGGCCATCTGGTTATCATCTATCCCTGAACCGGGAGATGCTTCTTTGTCCAACTGTTAATACCCACTGACCTTGGCCTAATAAAAGACTAAGGTGATGCAGTTTTACTTGTCCCTTAAGAGCAATACTAGTGTTTGCCATGTATTGAGAAAGTGCCTACAACATGCTAGGGGTACTTTGTTCGGCACTGAATGTTTCATTTTCTCTTCTTTCCATGCAGGGAACAGTTAACTATGTTTTACTTCTATAAAACTGAGGCTTCCACTGGTTTACTGACTTTCCTAAGTTTGCACAAGTAGTAAGGGACCAAAACAGGGTTTGAACCTGAACCGGCTTGATTCCCCAAAGGTGCTCTTTCCACCAAAGGTGTGGCCTTGAGAAAGGACATGACATTAATGTATATATGGAAGCTGGTGAATAGGATATAGTTGTAGCCTTAAACCGGATTCTGCTGAGTATGTGGTAGAATGGATGAGAAGCCTCTTCTCTGTTGCTAACCTGGGAGAAGTCAGTCACCCAGCTTTGCTGGGTTCTTGTTTTTTGTTTTTTGTTTTTTTGATAAACTGAATCATCTCAATTGGTTATTATCTGATGTGCCTTCCATATTAAAATTATATTATTCTAGTCTATAAATTTATCCACTCAGGCTTTCATCAATCTGACAAGCCTAAACCAAGTAAGCCCTGATATTTGTCATGTTTCCTTCAAATTTTACCTCTGACATGGGAGCAGAGTCTGAAAATGGAATGGAAGTTCCATGAAGCTATAGCAACACTTTTTCACTGTGTTCATCTCTCTCCTTTTCTCTTAGGGAGAAGCTGGAGCTGTCCTGTGAGAAGCTGAGGCAAGGAGAAGCTGGAGGTAGAACTGGGGAGGGCTTGAATGAGTTGGCCCGTGAAATTTAGATCCTTGTTTTCTAAAACACTCTTTCCCTGAGGTTTGAGGGACTGGAAGAAAGCTCTACGTGTGGGTAGAATGTCCTAGGGTAGCTGTTCACAAAGAAATTGATTGCGGCAAACTCCTACTTGTTAGAATTTCCTAATTCTCTGAAAATATTCTTTATACTCAACCTTCTAAAAATTCTTAATGGCACATTGAAGAGCAGAGGTTGACAAAGTTTTTCTCTAAAGGGCCTGATAGGAAATTGTTTAGCTTCTGTGAGCCCATATGGTTTCTTTCACGGGGCTCTTCAGCTCTGCTGTCCATAGCACCAAAGCTGCCACAGATAATACAGAAATGAATGAGAATGTCTGAACGCCGATACAACTTTATTTGCAAAGACAGTCAGCGGGACAGATAGGACACAAGGGTCCTAGTTTGCTGACCCCTGGTACATGGAAAAAATTCATTTGGAGCTTGATGATGGCTCTTTCACTCTAGCTGGGTATTTTGGGAGAAGATACTTATTTTAGATTTATATAGCTTCATTATCTGTAAAATGGGGATAAAAAACCTACTTCATGAGGTTGTTATGAAGATGAAGTTAAGTAGCTAACTATAGCAAACTGGCCTGCTTTTTAAAAAATTAGATTTGTTTTTTATTGTAGAGCACACATATCACGGCAAAGTGCTGCACATATAACTGCAAATCATTTTTGGGAAAAAAGCTGTAAAAAAAACCAAAACCAAAACAAACACCGCAACTGCTTTGGTTATGTAGTCCCGTCCTGAATCCATGCTGGTAAAGGAATTCTGGCCCCTGAAAGGGGCCTCTTATGGTGGCTGCCCCAGATTTCTGCAGCCTCAGACCTGGGCCTCTGTAAGACAAGGGCCCCTGGGCTGGTGGCAGCCTGGGGACTGGGAGGGCCTCTGCCCTCTGCAGGCTGGGGGTCTTGGCCCTGACTGGCTGGCAAGGAGACATTCCTAATGAATCTAGATCATCAAAACCTTGCAGCCTTATACGATCTGAGTAGGTGGCAACTGCCAGAGACTTCATTGTTTGTTCCTTTTGTTATCTCTTAAAAGCCCCTTCCCCAGCTCCCATGCCCCTGAGGCAGAGAAGGCCCCAACCCAGTCTGCAGTCCTGAGCTCTGGCCTTGGATTCATGCTCTAGGCAGACAGAGGGGGTGGGTGGGTGCCTTCCTATGGGGATGATTGGAGAGAAGGCCCAAGCTGGCCAATGTAGGAGAAAGGAAAGGGTAAGGAAAAAGCCAGGAGACCTGTAATTATTATTATCATCATTCTAGCATTATTACTTTAATTTCTTTTAGGGTTTTTTTGTTGTTGTTGGTGGTGGTTATTTAGTCTAGCTTATGTATTTACAGTAAACCAATAAGTGCTGTGGAGGGCAGCTGAAACTGGGTTTTGCTGGTTCACCATTGAAGATTCTTCTGCTGGAATTAGAAAATTGTTTTAGAGAGGGTTGGTGCTTATTTCATACTAATTGAGCTAATACCATTCTCTCTTAGGCTTAGGTTTTGTACTTCAAGCCCTTTTTAAAAGAATTGTGCAGACATGGGCGCATCTGTTTGCTTTACTTCTTTATTTTCCTTGTTGGGTAATCACGCCTATGTTGATTGGCATCAAACACAGATCTCACCTATCCCCATGGCAGTAAGCTTCCACTGACTTGAATTGAGACCAGCCCTGGTGGCCCTGTGAGTGGGAGAGTCTGGGTGTGTCTAGCTTGGGCTGTGGCACCAGGAGAGGGTGGATACACCTGTTCTACTTGAGTAAATTGGCACCAATATAGTGGTGCTTCTCTGTGTATTTGCCTTGGTAAAAGGTCACTGGCTGATTTGAGCTGTTAGGTTGTGCCCCACATCCTCTGCGTATGACACTGACTTTCTTTTGGTGGCAATTCTGCCTTATTTCTAGAGGTGCGTTTGACTTACAGAAGGAAGACTCTGGCTTTTTGTATTTCTAAATTTCCCTAGAAGTAGACAAGGCTATCACATCTGAGGGTCTTGAGTCATTGTAGAGAGCTTACCTAAAGAGAATTTTTCACCGAGGGAGAAAATTATACAATCACAATAAAGCAGAAGCCACAGGGCCTGGGTTGTTGACTTACTATAAATGTAAGGGCTACAGTTAACAGGAAACTTTCAGTTTCTGCTATTGGAAGGGGTGGTCAGTCCCTTTCTTTTATTAAGCCCCCTTTCCCTCTTCTCCTTTTTTCTTTTTTTCTTTTTTTCCTTGTAATGAAAAGTAAAGACAAATAACAACAGATCTGCCTTGGGCAGCTGGTATGGGGATAGGATATCAACTTAATAATAGAAGTTGGGTCAAAATGTACTTTTATCTCTTTGCACTGAAATTAGAGTGTGCATGGGCTAATTGGATTGAGGTCTTTAAACATGTGTTAGCTTGCAAAAGTAGCTACAGAGAAAAGGCCCAAAACAACCTAATAATATTTAGGGAAAATATTAAAAATCTTCACACCCTGCACTTCAAGATAAAATGTGTTTTTTGTAGGTGAAATAACAATCCAAACACCCCCAAAATTTTAAATTAAAAATCCACTTTAAATCATAATTCTGGAGGTATGACATAATAGTGATAAAGAGTGCATCATATCTCATACTTTATTAACATATTTGTGCCATTTTCTGCTTTTACTTAACTTTTAGAAGAAGTCTTTAAATTGTATCCAATACCAAGGCAAGTTTATAGCCTAAATTCTTTCCTCCTAGCTGTTTTCTTTCACTTCTATATGTATGGAAATGTTTCTCTCCTAGAGCTACATCATTCTCTTAAAATTGCTATATGAGAGAGTCTATGGTTTATTTATACTTCTCTATTAAATATTATTTAGCTGGTTAAATTAGTTTACTTAGGAAGGTTTGGGGTTGCATGCTCATGACAAAGTTAGGAGTAATACGTTGATTTAATGGAGGGTGTTTTCTTCTGTAACTCCTCTGCCTTCTTGCATACTTTTGGGAATGACCTAATGAAACAAGCCCAAAATGCCATTGAAAAGGTATTTTAGGTGCTTATACCTCCCTTTCCAGGTCTATTTCCATGGCTTTAGCTGCATCAGAGACCCAGCAGTATAGGGTCAATTCGACATTCAGCAGAAACTACTGTTATGGCTGGATTCTGGTCAGACAAGTTGCCAGGAACCCAACTGTGGGATGGGATCATCCACACTCTCGCATCAACATACCCATTTGACCTTAGCTCCTTTTTCTCTCTCCCTCTCCCTTGATTAATCTCATATAATTATGTGTGTACGTGTCTGAGGGCAGGGACCATGCCTTATTCATCTTTGTATTATTCAAGGGCCTGGCCCACAGTGGTTGCTTAAGAAATGGGTGTTAGAGAAATATTTACAGGTATGCTGGAAATTCTCATTCAGATTCCGGTATCCCCGACAACTGATTTCCAGCTTTCTGGATAGGATAAAACAGAATCTTTGGGCTTTAGGTACATACTATCTTTTGAGAACTGCCCTGTGAGTTCAGAATCCCCCGCGATTGTCCAGTATTAACCTCACTTCTGTCAGTAGCCATGTCTCAATGCTAAGTGACTCTTAGCCTGGCATGTTTTGGCAAGAAAGAACTCTCTACCTGGTTTGCCTAATCTACACTGGCTTCTAGTTTCAACAAGAATTATTTACATGCATTTAATTTTAGCTCTTGGGCTATAACATGTCATTGTTCTTTTTACGTACCTCCTCCCCTCGCTTTTGGAATCAGGACAGGAATCTTCAATTCTTGTTGTTCCTGTTTGGTGTGCTTGTAGATGGAGTTTAGCTTTGTCCTTCAGCTCTCATGGCACTCCAAGATATTTTTGAGTCATGTTTCCTGTATAAGAAAATATAGACTATGTCATCACAAAAGGGAAATGGAGATTGGGGGGCATTATTTAAATCATTCAGGGATCTCATATCCTGGCTTGAAGGAAAATTAAAGCAATGCATTTGGATTAATTTATCTCCTTGGATTGTTCTTCTCTAGTCAACTGACAGGATAATGCATTCAGATTTTATTCAATTTTATCTGTCACTGTCACGGTGAATCTAGAAGAAAAAAAATGTAGTTGAGACTTAGTTTTTATAAAAAGTCATTGTTAGTAGAATTACCTTTATTTTTTCCCGTATTTAGAAGAGAATGAACATCCTAGGAAAATAATAATGAGCTTTGGGCGAAACAATGTTTTGCTCAGTACACCATGAAATGGAAAGTCCTCAAGCTTGCAGAAGTGCTCTGAAAAGTCTCTTGGACAACTCTGTATAGTACTTACACAATCATATTTCTTAATGACTTTCTATAAACAGTTTCTTTTGACAAGAAGCATACAGTCATAAAAATAGATAACTTTGGTAGAAAAGACATTAATGGTTTCTTACTTCTAGACTATGACAGACATAAAGTGACAGATTTCTTTAGTAGTTTTCCTGTCAATTGTGGAGGACACAGGAAATGCAACACAGGGTAGGAGGTATCAGTTCGCCACCTAGAGGACATATGTGGAATTCCACATTTCTCCAAACAGCTTCAGTGGGATTCATTCATTCATTTATTCATTCATTCACTCACTCATTCATTCATTCAGTTATTTATTTATTTAAAAATAGTTAAGTACTTATTAGGCTTTGTTGTACCAGTGCAGATTTGATAATCTAACGAGGAGCTATGAGCTCAAAAAAGCATTAAGTGTCTCTTATTTTGATTGCACAGCTGCCTCTTTATTTATTTATTTGAAGATTTATTTATCTGTTTTAGAGAGAGCAGAGTGGGAGCAGGGAGGAGAAGGAGAGGGAGAGAGAATCTTAAGCAGACTCCCCACTGAGTGTGGAAATCTGACTGAAAAGGCATCATCATAACCAGAGCCGAAATCAAGAGTCAGATGCTTAACTGACTGAGCCACCCAGGTGCCCCACGGCTGCCTCTCTTTAAAATCTTCTATTTTTAGGGGGCCTGGATGGCTCAGTCGTTAAGTGTCTGCCTTTGGCTCAATGTCCCAGGGTCCTGGGATCGAGCCCCGCATAGCATCGGGCTCCCTGCTCGGCGGGAAGCCTGCTTCTCCCTCTGCCACTCCCCCTGCTTGTGTTCCTGCTCTTGCTATCTCTGTCTCTGTCAAATAAATAAATAAGATCTTTTATTTTTAAAAGACTGTAGCTCAAATATCTGGAGAATTCTAAATATCCATATTTGCGATGTCTATTACTTTTAGCTCTTGGGCTATAATAAAGCCTTATTGCTTTTTATTTGTTCCAACCCTTTGCAGTGTAACTATTAGGGTCTTCTCTATACAAATTGGGAAATGGAGTCTCAGAGAAATTAAATAACAAGTTTCAGGTGTCACAGCTACTTCATAATAGTGCCACTGTCTGAACCCATGCCAGTCTAATACCAGAGCCATCACCCTGCTCAGTTCTGGTCTAGTCCAGATGCTCACAAACAGCCAGACCGCAGCTGGGGGTGTGGACAGTGCTTACAGGTTGAAAGGAGATCATGGCCAGTAGCAAGTTCATAAAGCAGGCTTGGGAGGAGCTTGATGAAGCCAACCAACTGGGCAGCGTCTACTAAAGATGGTAGGATTGTTCATGGGTATGAATTCCTTGTACCCAGAGGAATGAACTCCACAATTTCCCTGAGTTAGTCCAGTCCTGGCAAGAGTAGACAGAGGGCTGGGGGCAGTTGGTGTGCGTGAGTGCCTCCTCCTAACATCATCAACCACCACATCTCATGGGATACAGAGACGTACAATTTATAAATTAATGCAACCTAAAACTCCTGCGGTCTGATTCATTTTAATTGTCATTTCTGTCAAGCACACAGGGCCATGAGCATACTCCTTAGGTAGAGGAGGAAACTGAACTACTCAAGAGGTTCCCTGAATTCCAAGACCACCAGGTAATCCTTGGTGCCAGCACCGATCCCTAGATTTTCTGATTTCAATCCAGCATTGTCTCTATCATTTCTCACTGCCGGTAAGATCAGCTTTGCTTGCTGTGATGTTTCTAGTCAGTCCTGTGGTTTTATACCCGCCCCCCCCCCCCCCCCCCCCCGCTTAAGTAACTGTCTGTCAAGGCAGAAATAGCCATGAAAACAGAAAACAACTGTACCAGAGACGTTGATGGTATAGGAGATAAAAAAGAGATAAGGGGGTGCCTGGGTGGCTCAGTCGTTAAGCGTCTGCCTTCGGCTCAGGTCATGGTCCCAGGGTCCTGGGATCGAGCCCCGTGTCGGGCTCCCTGCTCCGCGGGAAGCCTGCTTCTCCCTCTCCCACTCCCCCTGCTCATGTTCCCTCCCTCACTGTGTCTCTCTCTGTCAAATAAATAAATAAAATCTTTAAAAAAAAAAGATAAGAAGGCATGTTGCAAAGTGGTATCCTTCAATGCAAGAAAGAAGGGCTATATTCGGGGGAAAGGAAATGAGAGAAAATTAAAGGCAATCAGTCAGTGCTGAGATGGTGAGGAGAATAATTCTTACACGTGTATCTGAACTTCTTCACAAGGTGTGATCCTGAAGATTTGTCACTACGGTGGACAAAAGTGTAATGCACTGTGGAAATTGTCAAGCTGTTGGGTTCCTACTGTAAACCAGTTTTTAAAGTGAAGAAAACTCTGATCAACCTCGAGTTTGTTTATGGAGAGGACTTTGCCCAGCTGCACCCAGAAAGCTTGAGAATGCCAGACAAGCATAACCCTGAGACAATTTTTCTTTGCCAGGAAAATTTGCTGAAAAAGGAACATTAAAATCTGTTTAATTCTACTGCATGGACATGTGATAATGTGCATGGTGACCTTCTATTGTAAACTTGAAAGACTTAACCTTTCTGCATCTATTACTGAGGGACAAAGGAGAACATTTTCTTAGAGCTTTGAACTACTTCAGTGGAAATCTGACTGAAAAAGGCAACACCAAGGACTGTATCTTACTTATTTTCTATCTTTCTCTGCATCTAACAATTTTTTCGAGGATTAATAAAGGGTGCTGCTTTTTATTTAGATTCCAGATATTATTATTCAATAGATTTTAATTATTTTAAAGACATTTGGAAGAGTTTACATTAAAACATTGAATCAATTTGACTTACATTTCCCTCTTGTTGAAAACTCACAGACTCTTGGGGTGCCTGTGTGGTGACTCTGTCGGTTAAGTGTCCGGCTCTTGATTTCAGCTCAGGTCATGATCTCGGGGTCGTGAGATCAAGCCCTGAGTTGGGCTCCGTGCTCAGTGGGGAGCTGCTAGAGATTCTCTCTCTCCTTCTCCCTCTGACCCTCCCCGCTGCTCACACACACTCTCTCTCTAAAATAAATAAATAAAATCTTTTAAAAACAAACAAAAAAAGAAAACTCACAGACTCCTAAGCAACTGTTTTCTTTTTGAAAAAAATTTTTTTTTTTTCAAAAATCATCCAGAAGTAAGAGGGAGTGGCCCTGATCCTTGTGCTTTTATTTATGTGTGGTTAAAGTTCAAATTTCTCAACATACCATAATCTCAGTGTACTGGCCAAATTCCACGGTGGTTAATTAGATCGAGTTTACCGGGGCAGATTTGGATGTAGAGAGAGCAGTCACACTGTACTTCTGGGAATCTATGAGCCAAGCTGACTGTGTTTGACACCTGAGTGGTGGGACTCACCTCACTTGCTGACTGGCCTTGCCCAGCAGGTTCTACAGGTGGAATCACTGCTTGGCTGGCTCCTTGCTGGACCTGGAAGGCACAAGAGGCCATGAAATAAATGGCTTGATTTTGGGTCTCGAAAGTTCTCTTTCCTATTTCCTCTCCCAAAGCCCTTCTCCTGCCAACTCTCTAGGGACCGAAGCCTTCATTTATAAATTCATTCATTCAACACATATTTACTGAAAACCTATAATGTGTCAGGCATTGACGTGGGCTCTAGAAATATAATAGTGAATTCGATGTTTTCTACCTTCAGGCACTTATAAATGAATAATTATAATACTCAGTGGAAAATTTTGCTATTGACAGAGCTCAGTAACCCAGATCGTTGTTATTTCTGTCTTTAAAGAGCAGGAAGTGCACAAATGCTCTTTGGGAAGGTATGGCATAGAAATGTATTTGTAGATTTCAACACATAAAATGAATGAGTGGAGACCGGTTCATTTGTCACTGTGAGTTCAGAGTTAACCCCACCCTCCCTGCTGTACCCTGACCCCACCACACACACACACACACACACACACACACACACACACACACACAACTTCAGTTGTCTTCAGATCTATGCAGCATTCAGTTGCCAAGCACATATTAATATACTCAGCTGGGTGGAGAAAGAATTTCCCCTCAAGGAACTTATAATTTAGAAAGTAAGACATTTGCCTCTTTCAAACTGTGACACTACTTCTCCACCCCTTAGACTGTGAACACAGTCGTTGGTGCTTTACCTAATTGTTTCCCAAACTCCAGTTGTTCACAGACCACCTTCATAATTTTTGCTATAGTCCCATACCACCTGTGTTGTGATGCTCTCTGTAAATATACTGCAATTTAACTTAATTAAGTCTGTTTAATAGTAATATCTTTTAAATCGCTAGGTTGATGTGCTAGCTATAACATTTTCAAATATACTTTAATATAACTATAGGACTACTAAATTAAATAGATATCATATATTTTTAATATATATCAAATATATAAATAAAACAAATTAATTATATAAAATAAATATAAATAATAAATGATACAATATATAATACATATAAATAAGTATAAAATAAATTAAATATATAAAATATATATGTTAATGTATTCAATATACATATTTAATTTAGTAGTCATATATTAGTACAAATAAGTACAAATTAGTACATATTTGGGCTAAATTAGTCATCTAGTAATACAAATATAATTATATATATGTATACACACACACACACACACATATTTGTCTGTATGCATCCCCAAATCTTCTCAAGTGCTCTCAAGTATGACACATATCATATTTTGGGAGGCTTTACAAAAGTAGGGCCCACCTTTGGGCACCTGGGTGGCTCAGTTGGTTAAGCGACTGCCTTCGGCTCAGGTCATGATCCTGGAGTCCCTGGATCGAGTCCCGCATCGGGCTCCCTGCTCAGCGGGGAGTCTGCTTCTCCCTCTGACCCTCCCCCCTCTCGTGCTCTCTCTCATTCTCCCTCTCAAATAAATAAATAATCCTAATAAATCTTTAAAAAAAAGTAGGGCCCACCTTTGAGAGTGAAGAATGGCAGGAAAAATAAAATGCATAAGTAATGATAATAATCGTAGCAACGGTCATGAGAGCTATTATTTATTGAAGGCTTTACGTGTGTCATTTAATTTTATCTTATTTAATCTTTGCTCTCTCCGAGGCATGCATATCACAGAGAGGTGATACAAAGGGGAGAGGAGGAGGGAAGAGCAGAAGTGGAACTTTCTCGTTCCTTGCCTAGGGCAGCTATAATGAACACATGTCATGATGTTTTCGTTTTTATTCTTTTCTTTAGTTGACTGAGATTTCACATCTGATTATTTTATGTAAACTGGATGTGATGGTGGCAGATTAAAAAACTTTTTTTATCAAATACATTTGTTAATCAAACAAAATAATAACCCCAGAAAAAGGATGTTAGTATAATTACACCCTTTCTAGGAATGCAGGATCAAGTGAGAGAAATCAGATTAAAACACATTTTCTTTTCTTTAGTTATTGGTTTTCTGTTTCTCCAGTTGCTAATCTCTGTCCTATTGACCCAAAGCATTTATTCAAAAGCTTTTTGCACTCTCTGGCATAAGTGCCTAACTTATTAAAGACACAATTCTTCTAGCTGTCTGCTAAAAAATAGTGAAATAAATATTGTTCTAAACATAGCATCACAAAATATTAATGCTGGAAGAGACATACAGGACCTAAGACAGCTCCCTCACTTTATAGCGGGAAAAAAGTTGAGTCACCATAATAATTATGAAAAATTTCCCTGTGTTTTCATAGCTGATATTTTCATCATAGATTTTATGACATGCACTTGGTTTTGTTTTTTTTTTTTTTGCATGCCTGAATTTTGCTTCCAACAAATGGTGAGCTCCAAGTACAAACCATGCCTTATTTGTTTCTCACTCTGCGTTTTTAGCAGAGTGCCATGTACTTGGTGCTGAATAAACATTTTTCAACTAACTAAATGGTACGATATACCCCATAAAACCTGCCTTTTAATTCTTCTTTGACATGGACTTTCTAGATACTTACACCTCATTTAGCATTCCATTGTTTATCTTCCCTGTAAAAATGTCGAAGACAGAGTATCTGAGAGATACTTTGGTGAATAATAAAGACTTAAATAGCTGGAAGAGTATGCTGTCCATTGTCCCGTTTATGTATTCTGGGCATAGATAATATATTTCAGGTCAAAACTAGAAAGATGAAACATCTAAAGGTGCTTGGACTATGTTGATTAAATATTTTCATTGGACATTTACATAAATGGTGGGAGCTGTAAGAAATAATGAATTTATCTCAGCAATTATTATGGAACAAATTAGCTAAAGATTATAAGGTACTTAGAAAAAGATTAAAATACACTAGTTATTTCACATCATTAAATTATCAGACAATTCTCTGATTGTTTTTCTTTTTTCCTCAATCTTTATTGAAATATAGGTATACAAAAACTGCACATAATTAATGCTTATAATTTGATGATTTTGGACATATGTGTACACTTGTGTAACCATACTCTGATTATTTTTCACAATAGTCTAATTAAAGTACAGCTTTGGATTTGTTAGTATATTTGAACATGAATGTTTTAGAGGTTTTACCCCTGGCTTTCCCATGAAGGCTCACACAGATTTTTTGTTATTATCTTGTAGATAACTGAATTACAGCATAGTAATTCATTAAAAAACCACTTTGATTATTAACACTCTTTGGTGTGAAGTATACTTTAAGAATTCTTCTATTTCCAGGGCCCTGCTTTTACTTGTGAAGGTCAGTGCTTCCTCCTTTTTAATCCTCAAGATTGGTTTTTTATAGCTTGATGAGATATGACATGCTTCTCCTACCTCCCCCTCCTTCCGGGACCTTTTTCCTCCACCAGTTTTTTTGTTTTTTCCCTTCCGATTCCTCCTGGCATCTGGACTTCTTTTTCTGCCAGATGAGTCAGTTAGACTCATGAAATGTTGAACCCACATTTTTTTTTTTTTATCTTGGCTGGGAAAAGAGGTTGAAGGCAAAATGTGCCTGATTATGTTTCATGAGGATCCTCACACAGCCCTCCTGACCCTCTCCTGAGAACACTACTCTGGATTCAAGGTAGAAAGTGCCAAATGATCCTCCACTGCACGTACATTTCACAAACTCAATGCTCAGAAAGTTGTTCTTTGAAGAAAGAAGTAGAAAAATATTGTTTATTTGTGTGTGCTTTTTTCTTAATACCTCATCTCCCTCCACAAAGGATTTAAGTGAGTTTTACAAAACAAATAATATAGTAGGGTTAAGAGTGAAAGGAAAAATATATAGATTTTTAAAAAGGGGGAAAGAAACATGGGCAGATTTATAAAGTGAAAAATGAATTGTTTGTATTCTAGCATATAGTATTAGCTACTGTATTGAGTGTTTCTAGGTAAAACACTAATCAAAATATCTAACCTAACTGAATGACATAAACACTGTTTTGAATTTGTTTAGATTTTGTAGGTGTAGAAATTGAGGCTTAGAGAGTTTAATTCATTCAGCTCCACTGCTAAATTAGTGGTGGGGTGGGATTTGAACCCTCTGGTAGTCTCACTGAGTCACTGCTATAACCTCTGTAGCTTGCTTTTTGACACAAGTATTTATTATTAATGGTAATTCATAGAACTGTCTCAAAAATGTAGAAATAACTTAGCTTCATTAAGTTAGTCAATTATTTTTTTTTCAACTGTCAGTGCTTAATAAGTAGAATAGGTTTGGGGAGTGGTAATTGTTGGGTGTTGGTGTGGTTTTGATGGAGGAAGTAGTAAAATACATTCCCTGGTCTTTGTCATAGTGCAGATCAAAAATTAGTTCATTTAAAGTCACAAGTTATTCTTGGAGGTTGTATTCTTTACCAAGATCTTGGTGTTAGGGGATGCCTGGGTGGCTCAGTCGGTTAAGGGTCTGCCTTCAGCTCAGGTCATGATCTCACCTCCGGCTCCTTGCTCAGCAGGGAGCCTGCTTCTCCCTCTGCCCACCACTCCCCCTGCTTGTGCTCTCTCTCAGACAAATA